CCCCGCCTCCCGGGTCTGCTGGCTCCCCCAGCAGACCAGGGAGACTGGGAGCAGCTTTTCTCGCCCCGGAGGAGGCGGGTGGCGGGACCAGGCGTCCCGCCGCTCCAGTCCTCCGGGGCGAGAAAAATCCCCGTTCGTAACTGCGGATCCGACATAAGTCGGATCCGCGTAACTCGGGGACTGCCTGTATTTAATGTTCAGTTGTAAACATTTGAAAGAAGAACTGCAATGTTTTGTTCATGATTATGAACATGTTAGAGTTACGAGCAACCTTCATTCCTGAGGTATCTGTAACGCTCAGTAATAGAGATGTAGTCGTTTTAGTCTGGTCTTGCTGAATCAAAAGACAGGACTATGCATCACTTTAAAGACTAACAAGATGGTTTATTAGGTGATGAGCTTTCGTGGGCCAGACCCACTTCCTCAGATCAAATTGTGGAAGCAAATTGGCATGACCATATATACCAAAGGGATACAGTCAAAAAAAGTGAACACATATAAAATCGACAAATCAGATTTTAGAACAGAGGGAGGATGGCTCTTTCTTTCTGCCCTACCTCCCCCATGAACTGGATTCAATTTTGTGGTGACCTTGATGCTTTCTTTCGCAGCCTCTGCCTACGGGAATATTTCCAAACTACCAATGAACATCAGATTCCCCCTATCAACACCAAAAGAAAAATAATTCTATATGGACTCCCCCTGATAGTCAGAATTATAATCTGGATTTCTATATACAAAGCTTCCACAACAATGCACAGACTGACATTATTCACAAATGACAACAAGTGACATACAATTTCAGCCGCGCTGAACACTATGCTATCCAGAGTCTCAAAAACAACCCAGACATTATAATCAAACCAGCTGACAAAGGGGGTGCTGTGGTCATTATGAATAAGTCCGACTATGACCAGGAGGCAACCAGACAATTCTCCAACACCACATTTTACAGACCTCTCTCCTCTGATCCCACTTCAGAATACCAAAAGAAACTACACTGTCTCCGTAAAGAACTCCCTACATCTACTCGCGACCAAATCCACACAGAAACACTTTCTGAACCCCGATCAGGATTGTTCTGTCTGCTTCCCAAAATACATAAACCTGGACACCCCGGACGTCCCGTCGTCTCAGGTATCGGCACGCTCACTACTGAATTATCCAGCTGTGTAGACTCTTCTCAAACCAACACTCCCAGCTATCTCCGAGATACTACTGAGTTCCTGAGAAAACTACAAAACATCGATAACCTCCCTGATAACACCATCCATGCTACCATGGATGTAGAAGCTCTCTACACCAACATCCCACATGAAGACTGATTACAAGCAATTAGAAACACTATTCCAGAGGATACCACTACCAGTCTGGTAGCAGACCTATGCAATTTTGTTCTCAACCAAAATTATTTCCAATTTGGGGGCAACTTATACCTCCAGATCAGCAGCATAGCCATGGGTACCTGCATGGCCCCACAGCACACTAACATCTTTATGGTTGACTTAGAACAACGTTTCCTCAGATCCTGTCCCCTTTTACCCCTTCTCTACTTATGCTACATCGATGACATCTTTATGATCTGGATCCATGGCCAAGAAACAATGGATACATTCCACAGAGACTTTAACAACCTACCCTCCCATTAATCTCAGCCTGGACCATTCTACACGAGAGATCTATTTCCTAGACACCGCAGTACAAATCTCCAATGGTAAATTAGATACCACTCGCTACAGAAAACCCACTGACTCATACAGTTACCCACATGCCTTCAGCTCCCATCCAGAACACACCATACGATCCATCGTCTATTGCCAAGCCCTTCGATATAACTGCATCCGCTCTAATCCCACTGACAGAGACCAGAAACTTCAGGATCTCTACCAAGCATTTATAAACCTCAACTACCCACCCAGAGACATAAAAAAACAAATTGAAAGAGGCAGACGAATACCCAGAAACCATCTACTTCAAGACAGACCCAAGAAAACCAACAATAGAACACCACTTGTCATCACCTATAGTTCCCAACTTAAACCCGACAGCACATTATCAATAAACTACAACCTATACTGGAACAGGATACTACACTCCAAGAGGCTCTGGGAGACAGACCCATAGTCTCCTATAGACAACCATCTAACCTCAGGATGATTTTTACCAACAACCACAGGACATACCACACTAATACCAACCCTGGAACTTTCCCTTGCAACAAACCCTGGTGCCAGCTTTGTCCACATATTTACTCTGCTGAAGCCCTCTCTTCCGACACTGTACTGTAAACCTTCTTGTTTAAGAGCGGGAGGGCAGTGTGGATGCTCTGCAGGTTCGTGCACAAGAACGGCCGTTCTTATGCAAGAACCTGCCAGTGTAGACATAGCCTTACTGTCCAGAGTTCTGGAATTCAAGCTTAGTGAATATATTTCAGTTGAGAATGACCCTCCCCCCCATCATAATAGGAATGTAGCCGTGCTAGTCTGGTCTTGCTGAAACAAAAGACAGGACTTTTTGCTGAAACAAAAGACAAACGACATTGTCTCAATGATCTCACTACATGTATCCTGCTTCAAAGAGACATCTAAAATATCAGGATTTTCCCAACAGTGGAGTGGTGTCCTTCCCACAGGATGAGCAGTGTAAAAATAAAATCCTTAGAAGAAGATTTATCCTCACTGCAGAGATTTTCTTTTAATGGGGACTGCTTTTATGATTCTGAGCCTGCCAGTATTCCAGAGCGTTAGCAGAATTATTTTTGAAGCTGAATCATTTATCCTAAATAATTCACCACCTCCTCCTCCAGCAGCACTTCTTAACTGAGAGAATGTAATTTATTGGCTTCTAGAGAATCATCATCTAAAGTCTCACTGGGACCCAACTTTTTTGCTTAGAGAACTCAGAATCCTTAATTCTTTCCTAGACAAGAAACTCTCAGGTTCTGCCTGATTGTGTATTTCCAGTTCCAAATGAGATGTGTGGTTTACTGGTCAATTCAGAACTCTGGAATTCATAATTCTGAGGTTCTACTATAATAAAAATGCTGTAAATCTGAAGGCTGTGTGATCCTCCATTGTTTAGCTATGGCTGTGACCATTGTTCCCACTAAGGCAGGGGTGGGGAACCTCAGGCCGGGGGCCAGATGCAGCTTCCAGCTTGTTTGGATCCAGTTCCCAAGACTCAGGACTCCTCCCAACAGAATTGGGGAACCTGTGCTGGTGCGCCAGCCTCCCCACTCCCTTCACCCTATCATGGGGCTGGAGCACACAATATCTACTAGCCTGGGCTCCCCTAGGCTCTGGTGTGCAAGGGGAATGTGGGAGAGTGTTTTCTCCCTTCTCAGTTAGGGGCCAAGTCAGTGAAGGTTTGTTTTTGTTTTTGTTTTTTTGCTTCTCACTTGTGTGCAGCCTCCAACTGATTTTTCTGTGGGTCAGCAGCCTGGGACCCAAAAGAGATTCCCCATCTCTGCTTTAAGGTGCAAGGCAGCACAGCTTCACAGGTGATTAATCAGCCCCACCCAGTCAGTCAGCTTGGTGCCCTGAGCCTCTGACTGGGCAGGGCTGATTAATCACCTGTGAAGCTGTGCTGCTGTGCAGCTTCCAGGAAACCCTGGCTGTGACTTGATAAAATGTAATTTTATGTTTTGCTAATTTATGCTAATTTTAGCACTTTTGTTTGAAAACTAGTATTTACAACCCAATATATAATTCCAGAATTATTTGTTTTTAATTGCAGGCCCAGACCATATCTGTTTAAAGAAGAGCATATATTTCCTACACTCAATGAAAATGTTCCAGTAGTTATTCTTTATGCAGAAATTGGCACAAAAGACTTTGTTAAATTTCACACAGTTTTGTCTGAAAAAGTGCAAAAAAAAGAAATTGTTTATATTCTCCGGCATTATGTTCAGGTATGCAGCTCAAATCTTCTATATATTTGAGGGAGTTTGTCTGTCTGTCTAATCATCTGTCTGTTTGTACAATAACTCCTCCAAAACAGTAAGATCTAGGACTGCCAAATTTGGTATGCAGCTTTCTCTCATCATAACTTAAAGCAAGGTAAAAGTTTTGGTTGTGCAGGGAAAATGGGATATGCCTGGAAAGGGATTCCTTTTCAGAAAATCATAAAAGAGAGTCTGGCACAATTATAATAAAAATAAAATAGTGTCTTTCAACAGAGAATCAAGAACAACCTCAAACACAAGTCCTGCCTGTGATACACTGAATGTAGAGGCATAGTTCTGGTCAGCTTTCAGGGGTTCCTTACCATCCCTTCTCACCAATATAAGAGACAGCCATGTTTTTGTCTTAAATGTTTTACCTGACTCTATTCTCACATGTTTTTATTTAAGTGAATGCATATATGCATGCCGCTCTTGGTATCTGTGTGCCCAGTGCACAACCACCCGAAACATTTTCCCTTGGTGGAGTATCTGTTGGGTAGTTTGAGCTCCATCTGCTCTTGTATGCCATTATATATGGGTTTAAAAGCATTAATCCCTCTAGCCCCCATCAGTTCCTTCTTAGTGCCTGCAGTGGCTGTTGGAACAGTTCTTTTTCTCAGCCTTTGTGAATATAGGAGCTTCAGGGCGTAGCCGAGTTAGTCTGTTACAGAAACAACAAATGGTCTGGTAGCACTTTGTAGACTAACAAAATATGTAGATGGTATTATGACCTTTCGTGGGCACAGCCCACTTCTTCAGATGACTGGAGTATCAATTGACACCTAATGTTCAGAGAACCTGGTGGGCAATGGCTGCTACCTGTAAAAAACTAAGTCATGCATGGTTTACCTATGTGAGGGTATGTCTACACTTGCCCCCTAGTTCAGACTAGGGAGGTAAATGAAGCATAGCGAAGTTGCTAATGAAGCACGGGATTTAAATATCCCGTGCTTGATTAGCATGTTTGCGGCCGGTCGCCATTTTAAAATGCCGGTAGCCCGAATTAACTCGCTGATTGTAGATGCGATAAAATGATCCAAAACACTTCCCTCGAATTAACTGTTACTCTTCATTTCACGGGGAGTAACAGTTAATTTGAAGGATGGGTTTTGGATCGGACTGTCATGTCCGATCCAAGACACACACAGGCTGAGCGTCCCTGCACCTGTAGGCCCTGACTGTTAATGGTCTGGGGAGGAAATCTAGACTGGCAGGGCAGGGGCAGGGTTTTTTTTCAGCTGTGCTGTGCAGCGGGAGGGCTGCGCGGAGCCCAGCGTGGCAGCCTTAGAGCAGCTGTGGCCCAAGCAGCAGTGCTCAGCTGGTGGCTGGGAGGCAGCCCAGGGGCAGGTGAGGGGGCGGGGTAGACACTGGGGGCTCCAGGGGCAGGACTAGCACTGAGGGATTCTGGCGGTGGGGAGCTTTAAGAGGTGGGAGGCAGGAACTGGAGGGCTCTGTACTGGGATTAGTACTGAGGAGCTCAAGGGGGGCTCTAACAGGCAGGGGTCTGCACTGGGGTATGCAGAATGGGGATCTGGCACTGCGGGGTTCTGGGGGAGGGGCTAGTAGTGAGGTGGCTACAGGGGCAGGGCTGACACTAAAGGGCTCTGGGGACCGGGCTAATGTTGGGGATTAGGGCTGATACTTTGGGGGACTTGGGAGAGTTGGGTGCAAGCTGGCTGGGGGGGGGGGTCTGGTGGCATGGAGAGGTTCTGTGAGGGCAGGAGGCTGGCATTGGGTGGGGTTGGATGCAGGGGATGCTGGGGTCAGTGGTCAGTGAAGGACAAGTCAACTATCCAATATAAGCAAATACTTATCAGATAGTTGACAGGCTAATCGACTAGTCGCTCTCCCCCTCCCCCCTTCTCGCTCTCTCTCTCACCTTCAGATTGGCAGCCCCACTTGGTGCCTTGGGCCAGACGGTGGGCTCTGTGCTGCTCTGCCACTTTGAAATGCTGCATGCAGCCCGGGGACAGCTGGAGTGTCCCCAGGCTGCACGCGGCGTTTCAAAGTGGCAGCAACACATGGAGCCCAGGGTCAGTCGGGGAGTCCCCAGCTGCCCAGGGCTCCACCTGACACTTTCATCTTTGAAGTGTAGCAACAACCCTAGGGCTGTTTCTACACTTCAAAGGCGGAGGCACTCTGTCAACTAATCGAATAGTTGATGCAAAATGCATCGACTATTTGATTATTCAATTAGGCGATATTTAACATTCCTAGTCAGTGGCTGGCGCTGGGAGATAATGGAGGCATGGGGGGCTCTAGTAGTTAGGGCTGGCACTGTGGGACTCTGGAGGCCGGGGCTTTTGGCAAACCAGCAATGTTTTAATTGCATATTTATTATTTGCATAATAAATATGCAAATATACAAATGAAATGGTGCCTCTCAGTGCCTGTATTTCCTTCCTTACAGGACTCGGGCTCCTTGGCACTGCTGATACTTCTGCCAGTGATTCAAATTTCACTACCACAGTTACCTGCTTCTTAGACAAGTGGCCCGTTAGTACTGTCCAAGGGGAAACCTGCTACAGTGGTGTTGCTTTGTTCATTACAAGGCTTTTGGTACTACAGGCAGTCCCCGGGTTATGTACAAGATAGGGACTGTAGGTTTGTTCTTAAGTTGAATCTGTATGTAAGTCGGAACTGGCTCCAGATTCAGCCGCTGCTGAAACTGACCAGTGGCTGACCAACCCGGCAGCACCCCCGCTGCTCTACCCCAGGCGTCCCCAAGTCAGCTGCTGCTGAAACTGATCAGCAGCTGATTCCAGGAAGCCCGGGGCAGAGCAACTCAGCACCATCTAGCAGAAAAGTGGTTCATGGGTTATAGGCATAGGCCTTCCACTTCTACTGCTCTGACTCCAGGCTCTTTAAGACACCGAGAAGCCACGAAGTAGGCAATTTGATGAGCTAGTCAAAATTAACCCACTAGTATTTATCTCTCCAAAACCCTTCACCTTCGCAAACTTCCACTTCCACAGTGCTTGGTCCAGCTTATTTGGGACAAGTGGATCTTGAGTTATACTCAGTAGTAAAAGCATCCTCCTATTCCTCACCTCCCTAAATTTGTAAACAGATACAGCCAATGGATATGTAGGTTCTGTTTGCTCTCCTGCAACCAACTGCTTACCTTGCTAAATAAGGTGGTTCTCCATTTGGTCTCACCACAGTGGGATATCACTAATCATTTCCCATTACTTTAGGTTCATAGTCCATAGGTTTGAGCAGGAAAGAGTCAAAGTGAAGATGTTTCCAGGGCCTTTTATAGCTTCTGCCATGTGAAAGGAATCCCATTGTTCTCACTGTGAAAAATTATAGCGAACAAAATGGTGTTTGGACTCACATGGACAAGTCACATGTCCATTCATATTTCATTTAGTCATCGCAGAAGACATTCCCTATACTGTAATTAGAATGTTGACAGGAAAATCCATTATGTGTTGATAGGCATCTACCATGGTCTGTTGTGAGGTAAGTATATCTTCGTGGCCATTTAATCTGAATAGTCACTTCACCATGTGCAGGCTAAATATCTGATGGGTGTTACCATAGGTGAGCAAACATTTGAAATGGAGGTACAGAGTTAATATTCAGAACTTCAGATGCAAACATGATACATGCACACAGTGTAATCTTATTCAGCAAATCATAACTTTTCCATGGACATCTTACAAGCCAGACGTACAAGATTTGTTGCTGTTCTATAATAGCGATAGTTACAATGTATGAGTCACACATGGTCATATTTTAATCAGGTAACATCACAACATGCCCATAATGTTTTTAAAGGGCATAGTCAATTATTCCCTCAAGCATAAGACCCTGTCCCCACATGTATTGTCAAGTTGCATGGGTCCCCTATTCAAACCATTTGTTAGCTGCTCACTGTTGCATGTCAATAAGTTGGCATTTTTGGTGGCCATTACTTTGGTTGGAAGAGCTGTGGACATTAATGGTGGTGCCTCCATAAATTATCCTTTTTAAGGACTCTTACCTGCATCCTTATCCAAAGTTTGTCCCTCTTTCCAGTCAGCCATCAATTTATTTGTCTATGTTCTACCCAAGACCACATACAACCAGGGAGGAAGAACAATTGCGTTCCTTGGATGTCAGAAGAGCCTTGGCATTTTATCTGAACAGAATCAGTCACTTTTGTAAATCCTTCTAGCTGGTTATAGCAGAGGCAGACAGAGTAAGAGGTCAATCATTTTGTACCCAGAGAATTTCTTCCCAGATCCCATCTTCAAACTCATGTGCTATAATGTGGAGAATGTTGCTCTAAGAGTCACAGTTCATTTAGTGAGGTCATAGTCAGCCTTGGCAGCCTTTGGCACAAGTTCTAGGTGCAGGTGTTTGTAGAGTGGCAGCTTGGTCCTACATTTGCATCTCTTTGTGCCGTGGCTCAAGACTCCAGAGAAAATGCTAGGGTGGAATGAATTGTTCTCCAGTATTTGACATAGACTCTGATCCTCTCTCATGGCTTCTGTGTCACTGAAAGTGGAACATATGCAGTCACCGGAAGAAGAAGAAATGAATTCCTTAACCTGTTCCAGAATTAATGATCTTTGAGTTGTGTTGCACATATCTACTCCACACCTCACTGTCCCACCTTATTCATCAGTTATGACAGGAAGGAGAAGGACTAGAGGTGGCTCTGGTCTTTTACCTGCATGCAGTGGTGCATGGCAGCAGGAGAAGTCCCTCAATGAGTGAAAAAGTTTCTGACAGCCATATGCTGAGTGCACTAATACCAAGAACGAAAAATCTATACAACACATCTCAAAGAAGACCAGTTATGGAACAGATTTGTAACTGTTTTTTTCTGGTTGATAGAACAAAAAATACTGTGAACAGTAATTGAAAAGATTAGTCTTATTCGAGTGTTCACGTGTATTCCATATAGGTGTGCGCATGCGCCATGTGCGCTCATTGTCAGAAAGTTTTTCCCTTAGCAATACCCTTTGGGCCAGCAG